TATTGACCGCCCAGAGCCGACAAAAGAGTTATGCGGACAGGCGCCGGTCCGAGCTTGAATTTCAGGTCGGCGACTTCGTTCTCCTGAAGGTTTCTCCTTGGAAAGGAGTGATTCGGTTCAGGAAGAGGGGCAAGTTGGGGCCCCGGTTTATAGGTCCATTTCGTGTGATTGCGAGGGTAGGCCGGGTAGCCTATCGGTTGGAGTTGCCAGCAGAGTTGGGACAGATTCACGACACTTTTCATGTGTCGCAGTTGAGGAAGTGTATAGCCGATGAATCGGCAGTGGTTCCGTTAGAGGATATTCAGGTGGATGCAAGCCTGAATTATGCCGAGAGACCAGTGGCCATCAGGGATCGGAAGATCAAGGTTCTGAGAAATAAGGAGGTACCTCTGGTGTTGGTTCAGTGGCAACACCGGAGGGGATCAGAGATGACCTGGGAGCCAGAGCGTATGATGCAGGAGCAGCATCCGGAGCTGTTTTTAGAGCGAGACTTCGAGGGCGAAGTCTAGTCCTAGTGGGGGAGAGTTGTAACAGCCGGATTTTTCAGGTATCTTATATATTGTGTTTTTGGTGATTTGAGAGGGGACTCGGCGAGTTGGAGCTCAGACTCGCCGAGTAGGGACGCGGATCTGGACGCGGGATCGCGCCTGGACTCGGCGAGTCCAGGATATGGACTCGGCGAGTCAGCGCTGTGTAATGAAACCCTAATTTCTCGGGTTTGAGACCTATTTAAAGGGCCTAATGGCCGTCATTTGTGCTCACCAGTCCCTTGAGTGAAACCCTAATCGAGTGTGAGCATTTGGAGCTAAGTAGGAGGCCATTATTGATCTTGGAGGTGTCATTGTTGCAAGGAAGGAGAAGAACTAGCCAAGGGAAAGCAAGTGGAGCCACTTCTGAGGGTTTGGAGTCCAGAGCATCACTATTGTGGTAATAATTTCGAGTTATCTTCTTCCTTGTTTTGTTTATCTAGATTTAGGGTTTGTTGAACCCTTTTGTGGCAAGATCTAGTGTCCTCTTGGTCCCTTATGAGGTTTGAACCATAGATCTGGACCCTTAGAGGTCCAGAGTGTCCCTTTACCCAAGCTTTTTGGGAATCAATGGAGGCTTTGGATTGGAATCCTCATGCCTTAGGTCAAAACTCCATTTATGAGCCATGGGGTGTGTTATGGGCACCAAGATAGAAGCTTTACGTGATGAATCAGTCTAGGGAGGCCAGATCTATAGATTGTGGAAGCAGATCTGACCTTAGAAGCAAGTTGGAGTGGTTGCATGGCATGGACTCGCCGAGTCTGTTCATCAGACTCGGCGAGTAGTTTGAAGATTGCCTTGGGATTGCTCAGTGAGTGGTCCAATCGAGTCATGGGTAGACTTAGTGAGTTAGGGTGAGTTGGAGAGGGGTGACGAGTGGACTGAGTCAAACTGGGACTCGCCGAGTTGTTCTTGAGACTCGGCGAGTTGAGTCAGGGTGGCCCCGCGATTCTTCCAGGTGAAACTCGTCGAGTAAGGGGGGGGGGAATACTCGACGTGTAGGAAGGGAATTTCAGAGGGTTGGTGAAAACGTCTAGACTCGCCGAGTCCGGTCAAAGTTGACCGTTGACTGTTGACCGTTGACCAGAGTTGACCTGTGTTGACTTCTTAGGGATAGTCAACCTTAGAGATATAAAGTGTTAATTAGAGACATATAATGTTATAGGAGGATTAGAGCTCGGAGGATCGAGCACGAGGGATTTCCAGGATTCGTGAGATACCGAGATACGCGAGGTGAGTCTTCTCACTATACTTTACCTTGAGTAGGTAACCAGAGTTATGTGATAGAGTATTTGTATGCTATGTATGTTATGTGTTGTACTGTATTATTTCTATGTGATTTATGTGGTGCATGTTTATCAGAGTTAGAACCTGAGGGTTTACAGAGTTTGGGTGCACGGACCCACAGAGTTATAGCCTCGGGTGGCTATTATGTGTTAAACGTGGTATTTTGGGGAACTCACTAAGCTTTGTGCTTACAGTGTTTGATGTTATTGTTTCAGGTACTAGTGACGACCGCGGGAAGGCGCCGACTTGATCCGTACACACACTCGGAGTTTTTATATTGTGATCTTGGGATTTTGTATTAACATATATTGGATAATTAATATGGTTGTTTGATGAATATTAATCGAATTATGTTTTATAAGAAAATTGAAAATTTTGTTTTGAAATTTACGGTGTTACAGTGTTGGGCTACCATAAACACTTGGTAGTTTGGAAGCCATGAAGCCCTTGTATTTGCATCCATTTCTTTTAATCCCCTCATCAGGGTTGTTCTTTCCAACCTTTAATGGTTCATCTTCGTCAATAGTCCTATTGTAGCTTCCTTCTTCAGACTATTCCTCATTCAGTTCATGCTACACAACAGGTGCAATAGGTTCATCTTTATTCTCCCGAAGTAGTCGCCTTGTCTCCTCTATCTGTCAGTCTAGTGTGGCTTGGATATTTTCTTGAAATCCTACCATTGTAATAGGTTCAGGCGTATGTGCGATGACCGGTGCACGACCAATCATATGCTTAGGCTCATGCTCTCGAGTTCCATTTCCATTTCCTAGTCTACTACGAGTCCTCACTATGACGTTCTATACACCAGAAAAATCGTTCATGGTAACCGAATCACAATTATATTATGATAAAGAAGATTTTATTTAGGCTTAGACGCATAATCCTCCTTATCACCTTGGAAAGTTATATATCAGTTCTAATACAGTAGTTAAACGTTTAAAATCCTGAAAACATAAAATTTCCTAATCAGTGTTGGCAACAAAGCTTAGATCTAGTGAAGTAATAGAAATTTAGGCAACCTAAAGCATGTTATAAAACATTTAGCGCATAACAACAAATTATGTGTCTTATCCTAAAGTAAGCTAGTGCTTGTGTCAGTTCAGGTATACTACTTAAAATAATATGGACACACACCTTACTCTCAATGCTTAACATTCCAAGTTTAAGTCTAAAAATTCTTAAATATTCCTAGTTTGCTTTAAATAATGCTCTAATAACAACTGTGACATCCGTATTTTCACGGCCAGGAAAAACATTTTTTATTTATGCTTATTTTAAAGTAGAGTTTATTTATAACTGCAAAATTTGTCCCATAAAAGTATTTCTGAAGTAATATTTTTCATTTATTATTACAATTTGGAATATCATAACTGATACAAGAACATAAGCATAAAAATAGACATTGTTGGCCTTATGACATCTAATGGCCTACATTTCCTTGAATCTCCCATCAGATCCAAACATCATATACCTTAGTCCCGCTACCTGTGGTACTAAGAAACTGAGTCGGTCAAGTTGGGAAACCTGGTGAGTACATAGAGTTTTCCAAAAGAAATTGAGTCGGTCAAGTTGGGAAACCTGGTGAGTACATAGAGTTTTCCAACACTACTACAAATATACCCTTTAATGACACACATTGCGTGTCATAAAAGTCACAGATGACACGCAAATGCGTGTAAAGTAAAGCCCTGTCCTAAAGGCAGACGACACACATTTGCGTGTCGTAAACTTAAGACATGCATTTACGAGATGCACTTATGATACGCATTGCGTGTCAAGGAATGGACTTGTTATAAAGGAAGATGACATGTATTTGCGTGTCATAACCTTACGATGCGCATTTACGACTCGTATTGCGTATCATTGAAGCCCCTGTCATAAAGAAAGACGACACACATTTTTTCATGTCATAATTTTAAATGTTTCAAAAATTATATATATTTTTTATATATTTACTATTTTTTCAAATTAAATGACAGTTAATGTTTCATCATACAAAATAACATATCATACACAAGAAAAGAAAATCCATTTCACATTATAAAAGTATTTCAAATACAAATAATCTCTCAAATGCTAAATAAATGTAATACATTGCATGTTTCGTATATCATGTCAAAAAATCGTTGGTGTCATTGGTTTGCCACAGGTGTAGCAGGTAAAAATGTTGAACTTGGTGAAAGTGGTATGGATGGCAAGTAAGTGCTTTGGGAATTAGCTACTCTCGCAAATAACTGCTTAATAAAAGTGAAAAAGTGACAACATGGATAGACATAAATAACATGTTAGATGATTCTTTGATCTTTAATGATAATCATTCTATTCAAATGCAAACTAATAGCTCCTTTAGTTTATTATTATGATTAAGGAGGTTTTAAGAGCTTATTTGCAACATGTTGATGGAAAACATACCTATCCTATACTGGTAACTAATTTTGAATAATATTCGGTTTGTGCCCATTGGATTCTTCCTCAATTCTAATTGTTCAAGTTTCCCTAAACATCATAAACATATACTAGACATTAGTTCCAATGACAACCTATTTTTTAAATTAAAAGGTGAAAAAAAAAGAAGAGTGTCTGATCAACTTTTTGAGATTTTAAGGTAAGTCCACATCACCCTTTTGTAAATTGTTGGTTCTGCAAATAGGCAGCTATCAAAATGTTTATAATCAGAAGTTGTGTTCAAATATGAAATAAGTAACATGTTTGTGTGGAAGACTGTGAAGACATGATTTAGCTTCTAAACACCAGATATCCCATATAGAACCCTATATGCACAAATATACAAAAAAACAACAACATAATCAAGAAAATGGTAATTGAGAAAAAAAAAGGTAAGAAAGTTTAGAACGTGATCATTTCCACAACTCAAAACACGATCAAGATGAAAGGGTTGTTGGCACAGGCCCTTGAAAACACACACACAACACACACTCTCACGTAGTTACAACAATAGAATATGCAAAAGCTTCACTAACAAAACAAACATGCACATGCTAATCTCGTATCTCCTATAAACTTGGTCAACTTGACTATTTTCTGTTGTGCACCTTCTAGAACATGGGTATAATCCCTTTATTTCAGCATGACTCAATCAAACACTCCTGGATCATGAACTAGATCCGACCCATGATCCGTTGAACCAACCGATTAACCCAACAATCACCCCCTTAATCGGTTGTTCACACCATTTGTTCACAGCTGCCTTTAATCACCCTCCTTTCATCTCGATTCAAGACCTTTCCCGGACACCCGACTTTCACCTCCGCCACGTCCAAAGTCTTCCATACCCGATCCCGACTTTTCCCGGACACCCGACCTTCACCTCGGTCACGTCCAAAGTCCTCCATACCCGGCTGTTGTTTGTCACCACACAGAATCCGTTTCCACCTAACACTTCTGTGACACGAGAGCCTTCTCCCACCGATAAAGAAGACAAAGCTACTCGCTTTTACCGTCTTCTTTCACCTGCAAAAACGAAACAAACCCAGAGCCACCTGCTTTGACGGATCTTTTCTATTCGTTTTCTTATGCATCTCCGGTAAATCTCTCCATTTTCCGTGACATACTCACAACCTACCGCCGGAATCATCACCTTGTCTTGTTTGTGATAGTCCCAACCTTTTCCGATCTAACCCGTTCCTATCTAGAGTCCTCTTCCACCATTTACGAAAACCAAGCTCATGCTTCTTCTGTTTTCATTTACCAGCTCTGAAAAAAACCAAATCAAAACCCACCTATTTTTGATTTCTTTTCGCTTCTCTTCTCCGCCTCTGGTTAGGCACTCTTAAACCTGGAACATTCTGATCAAGGATGGAGATTTCACCTTTGCAGTCTTGACCCTATTCACGCGTCTGCTATGAATGCATCCTCAACACCCATCTGCTATCATACGACTTACTTCACCAGCATCACATCCTGTTTCAATAGGAAAATCACCACAATAAACCGCAGCCACCTGCTGCACACAACGACCAATTTTCTGTCATCTGTATCAACTGGAATGTTCGACCGAGAAACCGTTGCCAAACACCCTGATTCCGCTGTGATGACAGCCTTGCACCCGAAGGCTCCTCTCCTTCGAAAGTCGACTCTCAAACCAGCCCTCTTTTTAAACCGCTCTGATACCAATTGTTGGCACAGGCCCTTGAAAACACACACACAACACACACTCTCACGTAGTTACAACAATAGAATATGCAAAAGCTTCACTATTCTGATGAAAAAAAGGTGAAAATACAAAAGGAAAATAACACCTATTTATAATTAACAAAACAAACATGCACATGCTAATCTCGTATCTCCTATAAACTTGGTCAACTTGACTATTTTCTGTTGTGCACCTTCTAGAACATGGGTATAATCCCTTTATTTCAGCATGACTCAATCAAACACTCCTGGATCATGAACTAGATCCGACCCATGACCCGTTGAACCAACCGATTAACCCAACAAGGGTTGCAATGAAGTCCCATAACTTGGGTTCCTTTCTTATGGATTAGAAACAAGTTTCCTTTTTGTGAATTTGATCGTGTGTCCACCTTGTATCTAAAAAAACAAAATCTTTCATCAATGTATGCTAAATTTAGTACGATCATCATGAAACTATGCTGAAGTATGAGGGTTTTACCATAGATGAATAAGAACTTGGAAATGCTGAAGGAGGTGGCAAAAAACACACTAAAATGTTTTTTGTTCATTTGAACAATTATAGTTTTTTCAAAAAGAACACATTAAATAAAATTTTGAAATATAAAAACCATTATATTTTAGAATTTCTCCAACTTAAATACTTGAATAAAATTTTCTTTCCAGATTAACAATTGAATTGTAATTTTGATTTTATTTAAATAAGCATTGTTAGTATAAAAAATAATATCTTACCTCCTAAAAAAAGAGCCCTGATACATAGCGAGTAAGTCAATGGAATGGGAAAACCAAGTTCACATAAGTCTTTTAGCACATGACTACGCTTCCAACAAGTTGTCAACAATCTTCACCGCCTTTAAAAATTGTAATAAAGAGCTATTAACTTATTTTTTTAATGACAAAAAATAGTAACGAACTTTCACTTGATAGCAACAAACTTTAACCAAATAACAAATATCTTTCACAGAAAGAAACCAAACTTTACCACATAGCAAGAAAAACTATAACATAAATTTAATTATAGAGAATCAAACTATCCAAGAACATGACAACATCAAATACCTTACTAAAACGAGGACAAAGTAACATGTGAAATGGAGGCATAGAAGATTAAGATGACTAGGTCTTAAAAGCTTATTGTTACCTCTATATGATTTTTCTTGCTTGAATTATTTGTACATTATTCATTTTATCTTTACATTTAAAATGTGAATTGAAATAATATGTATCTTGTTACATAATAATATCCCAAGTCATCATCAAATCAAATAAGATGGACCAATAAATATTGATATGTCGAAACATACGAAACTAGTATATGAAGAATTTAGCTTGAAATCAGTGAAGACATGCATATAAAGCATAACATGCACATAAAAATTTATCAAGAAAACAAATTAAAAAAAGATCTAATCAACAAAGAAGTAACGACATACATTTAAAGCTCTTATGGAGGGTAAATTCTCTACGATTTTGAGGAAAAACTAAATATTTAGCTTTTTTTATTATCTCCAATCGTGATTGTCATCAAGGGTAAAATTGATGCCCTGTTCTAAAGATGATGTTGATAGAGGGCAATTTGGTAAAATCATATGTACCACATAAAAGTATAAACTCAAATTATATGATTTAACTTTCACATGTAAACCATATGATCCAACATGTCAATATGTTTATCCTTGCTTGGCCTCAGCGTCTTTTTCTAAATCATTTTTTTTCACAGGAACAATAATGAAATCAATACTTTATATGAAAAAATTTATAGATATACTTTGAGAAAGGAAGTATGAAAATGTACATACCTAATTCTTTGAGTTCAAATGATTAGGTTTGGTTAAGGAAAACTTTTTCATATCATTTGTTTAACGAGGTTGTTTATTGGGAGGTAATTAAAGAAAAAGAGTGAAAAAAAAAAATTCATCACTATCTTTTATGGAATGTGAATTCTGTTACAAAAGAGACAACATGAATTATAAGTGTGTGTATATACATGCAGATGAAATATTATAATAAGGTGGCAAAAAACATGTATATACCTTGCAACTACGTGTTGGATGAAGTTGCTCTTAAGGAGTGCGTAATATACTAGAAAATGACAGATGTCGATGTTTGTTATCTTGTTACAAGAAAGAAATGTAATCAGTCATTAACTCAATTCTCTTCGATGTTTCATCGAACACCTTGAAGGCTTTTCATAAATTTTATATTTCTCTTCTAAAAAAATCATAAAAACCGAAACTTATAAAATACGATTAACATAAAAATTAAATTTCTTAATATATTTAAATTAAAAAAGACCATAGGAAACTAGTGGAGAAACAATTGCTAGCCAACAAAAGTGAAAATTTCCTATGCACTCAATTGTTGTATGAAACAAAATAAAAAGCCTCGAACTGACCCAAAATGAGTTAGTAGTCGGTTCATTGATTCAATGATCAAATGAAAAAAATAAGAAACAAGATAAAATACCAAAAGAAATATTTGTGTAAAAATTTTATGCAAAATAAAAATTGTTTTTCAATGTATATCTCCAAATGCCTTCTCCGGTTTTGAAAATAGTAACCATGGACTAGGAAGCTATTACCTAAAGAAAAAAAAAGGAAAAAAAAATCAGTTCCAAGATATAATAAAATCAGTTCAATTGTAGAAAACGAAAGGGGAAAGCGTAACATCTTCACCCTAAATGATGGTAAGCACAACGTACCTTAGTGCAACAAGAAGAGAAGAGTTAGACTTGTTTCATTGACTAGAATGTGATACTTCTTGAAATTAGACCTAGGGCTTGTAAGTATAACAAAAAAAACATGATAAATCATGCTCGCTAATCTCAGATTCCTTCACATTCTGCTCAACAATTTGAAAATTCAAAAGAAATTGAAGAAGTTTGAGTCAATAATGGAGTGATTCATACATGTAGCTGTTATAATTCGGTTTGTAGAGGAGAGGATAGGCAATTTACAGTGTTTCATGACGTGATTTTTTGTTTTTGGGATTTCATTCTCCCCCCCCTAAGGAGGATGGACGAACAAGCATTTCATTAAAAAATTATAAAGCGACACACTTACATGACACACATTTTTTGATAGGCACCCTCTGTGTTTCTTTTATTTCTTTTTTGACACTAATTTTAGGGAATGCACAAATATGTGTCCTCCGTCCTTCAAAATTTGTAAAGCTAACATTATTTTTAAGACACACAAAAAATGTGTATCGTAAATCTGTGCATGTCATTGTTCGCATGTCATTAAAGGGTTGTTTTCTAGTAGTGAAACAAAAATAATATAACTAATTTATTTAATTGTCTATTCCATATCAACAATTAACCCAATTACCGATTCCTGTTTTCTTCTATTTTCATCCTTAAGAATATATCCTAAGGATCATCATAGTCATCATTACTGACAGTACTATTTTTTGGATTTCTCTGCAATACAGTTCAGTAGGTTTCCTTCTAATATTCATTCCTCGGGATCTATCCTAAGGATCATCATAATCATCATTACTAAGATGACTATTTTAGGGATTTCTCTATAATACTTGTCAGTAAAGTGTAGTACATCAAATGAGCACATAGTCCATCACCTACAACTTATAAAGTGTTCCACGGGACTATCTTGGGTAGCTCTTGGTTGTCACCTATACTCTATTAGTTTACTACATTGTTAATATAATAGTACCATTTCTACATAGTTTGTTCACCAGTACCAATTCTACACTGTTAGGTCACTAGCATTATTTAAAATCATGGTCTATTATCATCTTTTTAATCTCAAACCCTCAATATTTCATTCATACTTCATCACCCATCATTACCCAATACATTATTGGTAGGAAAAAACATATATGGTAAATCATATAAAAATAATCTTATATTAATTCATCCAACACATAACATTTTGATGACAAATAATAAGAACATTTAGCATTTAGTTATCTAATTACTTCAAATCTATGTGTAAGATGAAAGTAACTATGCATTCACTTGTTAAAAGTGGATGAATTGGTATTTTGGCAGTACTTCACCTAGTACTTTTGGTTTTTCCCTCGATGTGACCTAGGTATGATTATCATTAAGTCTTAGTTTTGTCACTAATGATAGTCTAGATTCCTCAATAATCCTAATATCTACATCAAGATCTATCAAGTAAGGAGCAACTAGGTAAAATCATATCGGTGGTAGGGTCTGTTTGGTATATAGAGTATATTGTTTGGAAATCCCACTTTAAAACCTCACTAAATCTAGGCTAGACATCACCCCCGTAAGTAGATCAATCAGTATTATGACATGGAATCACTGATAAATATTATTTATAGATTCATAATAATGACTATGAATATAAATATAGGTTACACCTGAAATAAGATAAGTGCAACTTAACTTATAGAGGTTTTAGCGAAAACCGGGAAATTACATGGGCAGAACTGTGACCAGAACACCTCTTTTCGTCAGGTACCTAGAGCTCCATAGTTTATACTAAAATATTATAAAAGTTGGGAAAAATCAAACTCAAAGGCTATAGAAATTCCATAGATGTTTTGAAGTGAATTTGTGAGGAATAAGAGAAAAATCGGAAGCATATATATAGGGTCATGAGGGGCGCACCGCGCCCAGACAAAATGCGCATCGCGTCGTAGGGGTGATGTGTCTCCACTGGTTGTTTGACATGTGTTGCCAGCTTATTGCCTCGCATAATCGCTTCTAGAACATGCCATATGTCCTCTTTAGGTGGTGCTAAGTGTCACGCCCATGTTATGCCATGTCACCTTGTCTCGCGGGAGAGCCGACCATCTGACCATGCCACATGGTGCACCAGGTGGTGCCACGTCATTAGCCTAGGTAATTTCTTGTAGATCTTCGGACGGCCATAAGTTTCTCATACAATCCTTGTTTTCGGTGTTCTTTATATCCCCGAAATCCCCCGGTTTGATTAAAGTCTCAACATCTAATTCTTAATGTAACTAAGATTTATTATTAGACTGGTTTAGATTCTACTGTTTGTGCGAAATTCATAACTCTTTCATATGAAATCCATTATCAACTATCTTTATACCGAAGGGCTCATATTCAAATGATCTTCATCTATTGTTTAGATTGTTTTGTCCTACAATAAACCGATTTGAATTTCGAATTTTGTGTCTGTACTGTTTCGCTGAAAATTTGAAAAATCATAACTTCCTGATATGAAATCAGATTTGCAGGTCCTCTATATGCATGCTATTAGTTTTATGATTACTATGACTTTCGTTTAGGTCACTAAGGCTAATAAGCAATCCATCTAAAATTTACTTTTTACGATACACATAGCCTTGTCGGCTTAATAATGAAACTTCGAAGAAGCATAACTTCTTCATATGAAGCTGAATTTTGGAGTTCTTTATATGTAATGAATCCTTGTCAAATCTACCATAACTTTGGTTAAGATTACTTATTTTAAATAATCTTTTATAAAAATGTCGTTTTAGCACTTATTATATCTTAATTCTCTAGCCCGAAGTTGCGGGCGTTACGCGCTTAGCCAAGCTCTCCAAGTATGATGTATACCTTGAGTGGCCCATTATTTTTTTCTACTGCTCCTAACGAAAACACAATCTACTGAATTTCTTTTCTAGCAACTCTTGCACTACGAGGAAAAATCTTACATCCTCAAAGGCACGAACCTATACGGTTCTATTGGCTATCTTAGCTGCACTCGAGACTTTGGCTAATTCTGAAATCCTACCAGTTGCTTGGGAGGAATGACCAAGCTCTCCTTGAGGAGCACTCCAAGAGAATTATAGCGTATGAGTATTTAGTAGAAGAATCTCTCCTTCTTTTATCCGCATAACAAAATCAAAACTAACAATCTCCAACTACTTGTGCTGCAACTCTATTGGATCTTGACGTTGAAATCGAAAGTCCAATTTTCCTTCGCACTTTCGCCTTAAGGGTCGGTCAACCCCACTTGGGTTCGACCCCTCATCTTCTACTACTTGCAACCGACCAAAGTCCAACCTGGATTTGCTTATGTGATTCATAGCTCCATTAGACTTTGAATAAACTCATAATTATCATATCTAATTACTCTGATGTTCCTATCAGAGTATTACTAATGATGCTTATCGCA